ATTTTTTCGCGGGCAAGGAAACTCGAATTTATCGGTTCGAAGCGTTTCAGCAGGTCGGCGCGGAACTGCTGCCACGTGGCTTCACCGTGGATGAAAGTACTGTTGCCGCCAATCCACTCGAGTGCCGGCCCTCGCATCAGTGTCGCCGCGAGTCGTACGCGTTGACCGTCCCAGACTGGCGAGCTCCATCCGACGGCTGCGAAGTAGATCTCCATCCCGGCGATCCATCTGCGGGCGTCGGAGTTTCGATCGCTCGGACCGAACGGCTCAGGTGGGCGCGGTTTCGGAGCCTCGAGAAACTGCTGCGACTGCTGCGTCGTCGCCGTTGTCGTCTCGTGCTGCGCTCCGGCGAGTCGAGTTACTCGCTCGAACTGGTTTCGCCACGCTTCGCTATCCGCTCGCATTTCCTCCTGAAGGGCTGCGATGCGCGCGAAGAGCTGCTGGGTAACCTCGGCGTTGTCGAAGGTTGCCATCCTGTTCAAAACACGCACGGAGGGGGTAATTCGAAAACCGCGGAGCTGGTGCTTACCAGAATCGGCGTCGAATTGGTCGCCCCCGGCGGTTTTTCGAGGCAGGTTTTCCCGCTGCTGCTGCTTTGTTGAGCGCGGCCGAGTGAGAAAAGCTCTGATTACCAAGTGTCACAGGATCGAATGTGTCGAGGAAAGGTTGCACTATCGATCAGTACAAGGCGCTTTTATACTTCCAGAGTACATCAGGTAACCAGGTTTATCTTATCGTAAGGGAATAGACCCTTCTAGAAGATAGAATCACCCTGCGTATAGCCACGCGAGGCTATTGGCTTTAAGGGATTACGGCAGGATTATGCTAGATAGAGCGCACCAATACATCCCAAGCCTGGTCGGTGATATACTTATAATAGCAGGATAAACCAAAGGTTAATGGGAAAGGAAGAATAGGAAACCAAATGAGATGCGGTAAAAAGAGGAATGAAAATGGAAGGAAATAAGAAAAGGCCAAGTGGTGTAACGGGGTCGTACTCTCACACCCTCTCTCTCTCTCTCTCTCTCTCTCTCTCTCTCTCTCTCTCTCTCTCTCTCTCTCTCTCTCTCTCTCTCTCTCTCTCTCTCTCTCTCTCTCTCTCGAACGGTCCTTCATTGCTGGGGAATCCTGGGTACAGGCGAGGCATATAAGGTGGGTACAAGCAAGGATGATACTTCCGGCCGAGCTTCTAGCCTATGGTTGTTCCCTAGGGTGCTCTATGATAGCGAAGCAGTCCCCTAGGGACATGCCCGCCTCAGGCGCCCCGAGGGGTGGCCACTCGAGTGGCGAAGCCTCATTCACTTTCCCGAGGTAGGTGAGGGCTTGTCCCCTCTGGAGGGTGACGGACCAGCGCTGGCGGAACTGGCTGAGCAGTTTTGCCGCCTGGTAGGAGCTGGGGTCGGCGTTGAAGAGGCGGCGGGCGGCCGTGTGTGCCAGGAGTTTCAGGAAAGTTGGCACCTCGGCGCAAGGGCAGCCGTACGTCTCGACCGCGAGTGGGGAGAATCCGACGTATGCTGCCCTATTGCGGTAGTCGTCAATCTTCTTATCGGCCTACTCCCGGGCCATATATCCGCGGCCCTTGCGAGCCAGCGGGTCCCGTGAGCTTACTGGGTCGGTGACGGTGACGTCACAGACCCATACCGCGCCTGAGTCCGGGCATCGGAGGGTGATGTCGGCGCGGCGTTGGGCAGTTTCGGGTAGGTAGAGCGTGGATTCCATGTGGGCCACGAAGTGGGATTCTCGGGCCAGTCGCATCCCGAGGTTCACGAGCGCGTCGTGGGTCCGCTTTGGGCCCCCGCCCAGGGTGCATCGTAGCATGTGGTTGGGCAGCCGGTTGTCTGGTATCTCATGCTTGTCACGGCAGTTGCATTTGCCGGGTAGGGAGTGCTGCAGGCCCATGCGGAAAGCTAGGGCCATGGCAAATTGTCCCTTGCTCATTCATAGGTCAGGGGAGAAGGGGATGGCGACTAGCCAGTCCCCTGCCCCTGGCCCGAGTAGGGAGAGGAGGCGCTGGGTGTGACCCAGGAGGGGGTTGAGTGGCATGTGTCTGGAGTCTGCCACTAGCTGTGCGTGCCTGGCCCCATGTACCTCCAGTGCTAGGGCGTGCTGGAGCTTGGCGCCAGGTTCGTCGCGCGGGCAGGTGAGTGTTGACTGCGCTGGTTCGGGGAGTGCCGCTTCCAGGCAGTTGAGCAGGTGGTGTAGGGGCGTTTGGGCGGTGAAGGGCGGAGTGAGGAGGTGGAGGAGGTCGGCGAGGGGTGAGGAGTCAGGGGGTTCCATGGAGCGGAGGAGGTCACCGGCCTGTAGTGCGGAGGCCAGGTAGCTGTAGCTGCCTTCCGTGGTGGGGTCAATGAGGCCGAGGCCTCCTATGGTGATCGGGAGGGTCGCTTGTCGCCAGAGGAGGTCTCGGCCTTCAGTGTCCCGTGGCTGCTGGAGCTCGCACGACTTGAGCGCTGCTTCCAGCAGGGACTTCCCCCACTGCGTCCATTCCTCGGGGGGGAGGAGGTTGGTGGGGGTGGTGCGGAGGAGGTAGGATGCCCTCCTCGTGATGCAGCGGGTGAGGAGCAGCAGCGCGACTTGCGGGTGCAGCTGCTCTACCAGGGGGAGCGCCGCTGCCGCTTTTTCGAGCGTGCGGCGGATGATGTCCCCGCATCCGTGGGTGGTGCCGATGGGGCTGCCCAGGACCTTGATTGCGTCGTGGGTGAGCGGTACTCCGGCCGGGATGAGCGCGGGGTCCACCGGTGCGGGCGACCAGGCCGCGCACTTGCTGGCGTTGCAGGTGAGTCCTACCGCTGCTGCCCGACCTGTGAGGGCATAGAAGGCGGCTGCGCATGCCGGCGGCGGGCCGATGATGGTCACGTCGTCGGCGTATGCCAGTATGAGGACGTCAGGGTATTCCTCTGCTGTCGTGGTCAGCGCCTGGTGGAGGGCGAGGGCGAACAGCATGGGGCCTAGCGGGTCGCCTTGCCGTACGCCCCGCTCGCTGATGAGCGGGTCGGCTCCGAACGCGTGGTCGAGCAGCAGGCTCGATGGCCGTCCATAGGAGAGGCGGGTTAGGGGCAGCAGCCCTTTGAGAGGGCTGTCGCGTAGGGCCTGGAAGAAGGCGATGCGTTCGACTGAGTTGAATGCGTTGGAGAAGTCCACCTGGAGGAGGAGGTGTTCGGGGTGCTGTTCGAGGTGGGTTCTTGTTGCATGCACCGCCGTCTCGCCCCCTCCCTTCATCGCCACTCCGAACTGCAGGGGCGCGAAGTGGGCTTGGGCCAGGGTCGTCGTGAGGTGCAGGCTGGCTTTGCCGAAGAGGCGTAGTAGGCATTCGCCGATGGCGATGGGCCTGGTTCCGCCGTCGGGTTTGGTGAATGCCAGCAATCTCGAGGCGGTGAGGAGGTCCGCCGCCTCTAGCGGCACTTGCCCTGCGAGTGCCGCGTTGGTCACTTCTGTGAGGAGGTTCAGGACGTCAGCGTTCGAGGCGGCTGCGTCCCGCAGATGTTCGAAGCACATACCGCTTGGCCCCGCCCCGACCCCATTCGGGCTCCGTCGAAGTACGGTTCTGAGCTCTCGTGGGGTGATGGTGAGTAGCGGCTGCTGCGGTGCTGTAATGGCGTTGGTGGGTGGTGTGCTTGGGAATGTCGCCCAGTTGGGAAGGGCGTGTTCGGCGGCGGGGTGTTTGTCTCGGAGGGCGTTAAGTGTCTCCAGGGTGGGTTCGCACACCGGGGTGGATTCCAGGGCTTGGAGGGCCTTCCGCAGGTTTCCGCGCTTAGTGAGTGTTTCCGCTCGGGCTAAGTGCCCGGCGGTGTCGTTCGCGTGGCGTGGGGGTCGTGGTAGTGAAATCGAGGTCACGGCCTCGTCGTACAGTGAATCCCAGGCGCCGGTGGCGAATTTGCGACAGCGTCGTAACATTCCGTCCCAGTCTGGCTTCCTCGTCGATGTGGTTGCGAGTGTCAGGCGAGGGAGGAGGAGTAACAGGCGCCAACCTCCTTTGCTGTCCTTGTTACGCGCGAGGTGTAGCAGCGGTGTCAGCAGGCAGGACGCGAACTCCGCCAGGATTTCGCGCGGTAGGCGACGTGCCAGGGGTGGGAGCCTGGAGTCGCGGAGCACGGTCATGTCCCACTCGCAAACTTTGGCGAAGAGTTCGTCGTTCTTCGCCAACGCCAGAGGGGATTGTACCCGCGCTGCAGGGGTTGGTCTGCGGACGACTGTCGAGCCGCGGCGGGTGTTGGATGTGGCGGCTCGTCGGTAGGGTTGGCCGGGCCGCACATTTGCGTCTCGGGCGGGGGAATCCAATAGGTCTCCCTCGTCTGGGGCGCCTTCCCAGTTTACCCCGATTGGGGGGGTATAAGTGGGGTTGTTTGCGTTTTGAATTTCAGCGTCCTCCTCATCGGCTCCCTCCGTGTTCCCTTCTGCTGCTCCCCTCGTAGCTCCTCCTCCTGGTGTGTCTGCCGCTGGAGCGTCAGTACTTGGCCAATTTTCCATCCCTCGGTCCGTCCCGCCGTCTCCCCCCGCTTCTGACTCTGTCGCTCTAGTGGCGTTGCTTGCTTCGGCGGCTGGGTGTGCTCCCCGTCGCCGGTCTTCGCGTTGTAGAGGTTGCAGCTCTTGTCGGCGCTCGCCCGGGCCCTCGTCCGCCCCGCGTTCCTCTGTGCCCGCAGGTTGTGCTTCTCGCCCGCTCCCCCCCCGGGGCCGCGGTTGTACTTGCGCGGGCCGTGGCTCGCGTGTGCGGGGCTCTGCTTCTTTCCGGCTGCATTAGAGATGACGCAGGGGCTGCTCTTCTCCCCCTCGCGTCTGCCTCTACGTGAGGCGGAAGCGTCCCCGTCGCCGGTGGGTTCTCTGTCCGGCGTCTCGCTGGCTCTGTCGCCAACGTCGCAGCTGCGCTTGGAGTTTCGGCAGCAGCATGTCCAAGTGGCAGCGATCGCGAGCGCCCTCGAGCAGCTCCTGCGGCTGCCTCGGTCCGCTGTTGGCGACCGGGTAGCGTGTTCCCCGCCGTCGCCTGCGCCCGCGCCCGCGATTGGGCGAGAGGGTTTCGGGGGAAGTCCCATGGATCGCTCCTCGCGCCGTCCGGCTGCCCCGTCGCCGGCTCCGCCGTCGTCGTTTCTTTCTCCGTCTCGGCTTCCGCCGTCGCCCCGCCCACCGTCGCCCCTTCCGGTCCCTCCGGTCCCTCCGGCCCCTCTGGCTCCCCCTCCTTCGAGGGGGTTCGCTGCTGGTCCCGACTCCTCTCCCCGCGGGGTCCTCCAACCGCCTCCTCTGCCTCCTCCAAAGTCGCCAGCGGGACCACCAGCCTCTGTCGGACACGGCGTCGTATCGGGTCAGGGCGTGTCCGCGGGGTCTCCGCCCCCGCCGTTTCGTCCGATGAAGCGTCACCGCGGGGGCGGGGTGACGGGCTCTCGGGCAGGGTCACCTCCGACCGTAGTGCCCGGCAGACGAAGGGACCGCTCTCCGCCACTCTCCGGTCGTCCTCAGGGGTCGGGTTTGCGGGTGGGGCGGGGTATGCCGCCGACACCAGTGGATGTGCTCGGCGATCCGCCGCCGCTTCCTCGTCCGCCTGTCCGTCTGGCGTCGCCGCTCGCGTTCTCGCCAGTTGAGGCGATGGCCGGCGTCGTCGCCCGTATTGGCGCGGTGGCGGAGGTTTTGGATTGTCTCCGCCCTCCGCCGCTGCAGGCGCCTCCACGGAAACCTGAGGCCGGTCGGTCGTGGCGGCCCGCGATGTCTCGCTGCCAGCAGCGATGCGCGATGGAGGCCGCGTCGCTACTCCTCTGGCGGCTGGCATATGGGTTGCCGCCAGGAGCAGAGGCGGGGGAAGCTTTAGAGAGTCGGGCCGGGGCCCCTTGTCCCGCCGTCGGCTTTGGAGGTGTAGTAGGTGGGCGGTTGTCTGGCGTGTAGGCCAGGTCCCCGCCATGATGCGCTGTGGGTGGCGCCGTAGCCATAGGCTTTTCCTAGGTTGTAGCCCCCTGTGGAGGCATGCTTGTATGCTGTAATGTCCCTTGTTTTGGACTGGATCCCTGTCCCCGCCCCTTCTCTGACCTCCTGCGCGGCCGGAGGCCACGCCGCGAGCGACGGCGGCCGAAGGCCGCCGGCGCGAGCGCCGCAGCAGGGACCGGATGAAGAACTCAACTCGAAACTAATTAATGAACTCTAGGATGGGTGGAAGAGCCTTATATACCATGGGCTCTCTCTCTCTCTCTCTCTCTCTCTCTCTCTCTCTCTCTCTCTCTCTCTCTCTCTCTCTCCCTCTCTCTCTCTCGAACGGTCCTTCATTGCTGGGAGATCCTGGGTACAGGCGAGGCATATAAGGTAGGTACAAGCATGCATGGTATTCCTGGTCTTGCTCCTAGTCCCCGGCTATTCCCCGGCTAATCCCTCTCTCTCTCTCTCTCTCTCTCTCTCTCTCTCTCTCTCTCTCTCTCTCTCTCTCTCTCTCTCTCTCTCTCTCTCTCTCTCTCTCTCTCTCTCTCAAGCGGTCCGTTTATTGCTTGGAAAACTGGGTACAGGCTAGGTAGGCAAGGGGCAACAAGTCAAGGTACGTGCATGTTTAAGGGCTCGAATCTACTCAAGCTCCCCTAGGGGCTCTGCTATGGCAAAGCAGTCCCCAGGTGCCATGTCGGCGTCAGGGGTGCCCACTGGGGTGTGGGGGGCCGGGGAGGCTTCATTAACTTTTCCCAGGTAAGCCAAGGCCTGTGCCCGCTGCAGCGTCACTGACCAGCGTCACTGACCGCCGCTCCTGATGGCTACCCCGTATTGGTGTGGTAGGAAGTAGTCTTGCGCGGATTGCGTGGAGGAGATTAGCGCGGCTTTTGCCGCTAGCCGAAGGAGACACTCTCCTATTGCGATGGGGCGGGTACCCCCATCTGGCTTGGTAAGGGCCAGGAGGCGTGAGGAGGTAACGAGCTGGCTGACCTCGTGCGGCAGGTTACCCGCAAGTAGCCGCTGGACGAGCTTGTGGAGGTTTGTGGCGACGGTGGGGTTGGACAGCGAGGCGTCGCGAAGGTGCTCGAAGGTCATCCCCGAAGGGCCTGCCCCAACTCCATTTTCGGAGCGAGCGAGGAGCTTCGTGAACGTAGCGAAATCGACTATCGGCGGCCTGCAGGTTTCGTCAAGCCGTGGCCAGGTGAGGCTTTCGACAAGCGGAGGGGGGTGTTTTGACTTCAGCGCGTCCAGGACCGTGGGGGTGGACTTGCTGACTGGGGTCGAGGTCAACGCGAGCAGTGCCCGTCGCAAACTGCCTCGTCGTACCAAGCCCTCGGCGCGGGATATTTTCCCGAGAGTGTCAGGTACGTGGCGGGGAGGGGGTGGCAGGGCGACAGCAGAGGCAGCTGCTTGATACAGTGTGTCCCACTGGCCCGCGAGAAATTGTCGAAGTCGTCGTTCCGTCGCGGGCCAGTCAGGGCGTCGTGGTGAGGGTAGGCGAAGTGCGAGGCGCGGGAGGTAAAGTAACAGGATCCAACCCTCGATGGAGGTTGGATGTTTGGCGAGAAAAAGGAGGGGTGTCAGAAGGGTGAGCGCGAAAAGTTGACGGATTTGGGGGGGTAACCGGCGGGAGAGGGGGGGTTGGCGACTGTCGCAGAGAACTGCGATGTCCCAAGTGGCGATGACGGCGAATCTGGAGGGGTCATTCGCCAGTTCTTCCGGGGACAGCTGCGGGGCGGCCTGGGGATGGGTGTCCAGCGGTGCCCGAGTATTGTGCAAGCGGCTGGACCCTCGTCCCCTAGATCTGGGAGTTGGGTCAGTCTCTCGTCCTCCAGCACGCCTGTTTGTTTCGACGTTTTCGTCCGCACTAGAGGTCTCAGTCGTGGGGTCTCCCTGGTCCCCTGGTATATAAGTTCCGTCCGCCCGTTCCTCCTCATCAGTTGTTCGTTGCAGTTACGAGGCACTTAAAGCCCTGTTCGCTGCCTGCTGGAATCCGTTCAGCGGTCCTCCGTCGGAGGACAGATTGCCACGCCTTGCCGTCCCGCGACCGCGCCCTCCGGCCGTCCGTGTGTTGAGTCTTCCGCGTCCGCCTCCTTGGTTTCCTCTCGGGGCGGCCCTGGTCGTCGTTCGGCTTTCGTGCCGAGTCGTGGGGGGTGCCGAGTGCGGCGCGTCTCCTCGGGATGGAGCGACCAGCGCGGGAGCGTTCTGCCGATTTGGAGAGTACTGGGGACAGCGAGTCCCCCCAAGGTCGGGCGAGTTCTCCCGCACCGTCGAACCGGGATTGGGAGCGCGGGCTCCTCGTCCCCTCGACGGCTCGCCAACAGACTCCCGAGCGGATGCGGGGGCAGTCGCGGGGCAGGACTGCCGCGCCCCAGAGACACGAGGAGAAGTCCCCTGAGCGCGCCTTGGAATTTGAACGTGAACCAGCGGCGCGTGGCGAGGAGCATCAGTCGCCGCGCCAGCAGCATCCGTCCCGCCGAGGGACGCCTCAGCGTCGCCCACAGGCGGTGCCGGGGCAGCAGCGCCGGACTCCGCAGGCGCCGCGCGGGCGTTCGGGCCAGCGCGTCGGCTGGAGGGCTGGCGGGGGGAGTAACCGTGGGTCCGCAGCGGAGAGGCGCCTAGGGCGGGCCGCGGCGACTCGCGAGGGCTTGTTCCGCAGTGTCGCCCCACCCCAGCAGGCTCTGGCGTATTCTCCGCGGCTGCTGACGTCCCAGCAGTACCAGCCGGCGCACCCGCAGCCCATGCGTTTACCCCTTCCTCAGGCGCCAGCGCCGGCGTTCCCTCCCCGCAGTGTGGCAGCTCTCCCGCTCCTCGACCGCCCGTACCTCTTGGCGCCGCTTCCCTCCGCACCTCTTCCGCCGGTCCTCCCCTCGGCCGATCCCTTCGATCCGCGTCGGTTGGACGTGCGGTCCGCGGAGACACTGCCGCCCTGGCAGCCGACGCCCCCGGATGTGTCGGTGGTAGGGTGGTCCCATGGCCCACCGCCGTCGGTGGCTCCAGCATCGTTCGGCGGGCGGGCGACAGCGCCCTTTGTCCCCCCCCGCCGTTCGCTGGCGTCACCGACTGGAGTTGAGGGGGGGGCAGAAGCAGCGGAGATGGGGGGAGCGGAGTCCACGGGCGAGGACTCGCCTCCTGGGGACCAGGGGCGGCGTCGCTCGGGTGGGCTGCGGATGCCGCAGAGGGCGCAGCTGGAGCGCCTGCGCGGGAGGGAGCGGCTGGCGGAGACTGCGATCCCAGTCGCCACGCTTCGTCGGCTCTGGCACGCGCAGAGGGCGATGGGGTATGCTGTGGAGATGCTGACGGACTCACACTCCGTTCTACGGAGCTTAGTGAGCCCGTGCAAGATGCCTCACGATCCACTCCATCGCTGCGCGATGGCTGCGGCGGATCTGGCGGTCGTGTCCACGCGAGTGCAGCCTGCGCCCGCCTCGGGAACCGTGTTGGACCCACGCCTGCTCGCCGAAGGCCGCCGACGCGAGCCGCCACCAAGGGTTGGAGAAAAGAAAGAACTGGAAACTAAACAGGAAGAATGAGGGAGGGAGAGAGCTTATATAGCTGGAGAGGGACTCATGCTCTCTCTCTCTCTCTCTCTCTCTCTCTCTCTCTCTCTCTCTCTCTCTCTCTCTCTCTCTCTCTCTCTCTCTCTCTCTCTCCCCCTCTCCCTCTCTCCCTTGCCTCCACCTCGCACACTACTCTTACCATCCCCCCCTGGTTGCTGCCAGCCATGCATTTCTGGCCATTCCCTTCCATCCCTACATCACTGACAGTCCCTGCTCTCCCGGGCCCACTTACCCCCTCCCCCCTTCACACTACTCTCTCTCTTACTCTGCTCGTCTCTTCCCTCATCATTTTCTCTCCGCCGCGCTTTGTATGTACGCAACCCCCATCATTTCTCGCTTCTCTCCTCCCTCCGTTAACTCGTCAATCTTTCCTAATTTTCCTGTTCCCGTTTAGCATCATCCATTTTCCTGTCCCCTCCGTCCTTATCTCGTTTCCTGTCCCCTCTCCTCCTCATCCCCTCTCCTGGGTCGCCTCCCTCTCCCCCCTCCCCGCTCCTCCTCTCAGACAGCTGAGATCAACCGAGTGCTGAGGCCAGGGGGCAAGTTCATCTGACTCTAGTCAGACTCTGAAGCTTTTTTCGCCCCTCCACTTCACCTCTCCTTTTCACGTTTCCCCGCCTTCCCCCGTTCATCGGTCACTGCGCAGATGGCTGAGATCAACCGTGTGCTAAGGCCAGGGGGCAAGTTCGTGGCATCCACCATCCTCTGGCCCTCCTCTCCCTTCGGCAATGACCTCATCAAATCCATTCGCAAGGTAGGTTTGCTCTTGTTTCCCCACTTTCTCCTCCCCCCCTCCTCCCCCTCTCTCGCTCTCACACACGTAGATACTCATTCACACACCCTCTCTCTCCCACCTCCCTCCCTCCCTCCCTCCCAGCTTTTGATCCAGTCCCTAGTCAAGATGACGGCCAGGATGCTGTGGGGGGGCGGGGAGCAGACGCTGCATTCCCCCAACACCCCCTCCTCCCCCCCCCCCAACTCCGCACCCCTTTCACTCACACACACATGCTACACCCCTTCTCTCTCTCCCCTCTCCCTCCCTCCCAGGCCATGATGCAGTCACCAAGCATGGGCACGAAAGGTGTGGGAGGGCGAGGAGCCGCGGGAGCTGCTGCAGCCCCCCCTCCCCCCCACATCCCTTCTCACTCACGCACATGCTACGCCCCTTCTCGATCATCCCCTCACTTTCAGCCCATGATGCAGTCGCTAGGCATGGACACGACCATGAAGCTGTGGGAGGGCGAGGAGCTGAGGGAGCTGCTGACCCTATCCGGATTTGTGGAGTACCGCCAGGAGTCCAACGGGCAGTTCATCATGGTATTCGGGCAGAAGGCCGAGTGACAACGGTATTGGGACACGCACCATGACACAGTGCAGTGGAACAACAGCAGTTAACGCACAAGTAATGTGATGTGTGGCAATGCGGCACGGCACAATGCACTGGTAGCGGTAGGCAGGGAAGGCTGGATGAGATTGCATCATTGGAGTTGAGAAAGAGACAGGTTATGGGATGACCGGAGCTGCATGGCTAGTGCGTATTTGTACAGTACCTTTCATTTTACCGTATTGGCGAGGCGAGTCACCTCTTCTATTGAGCTCCCTCTTAGATGTTATGCAGACAAATGCCTAACTGACCAGACCAGCAAACAGATGCCTTGCACCAGGCCCCAAGATTCGTTTTTAGGCACGCTGATTTATCATCCTTGCCCCCCATACTTAGGCTGATTTCTCAGCCCCCCCCTGGAAAGAAAGGCTGAATGTGACAGCCTTGACTCAATAAGTTTCGCTGAATGTTCAGCCTTGGTCTAAAAAAAAAACGTTGAAACTTCACGAAGCCACTTTCATTAATGACAGTCATTACATTTCATCTTCAGTGTCTACATAAGCATCTAGTTTCCCCCCATCATCCATGGGGGCACTACAATCATCATCATCCACCTTCTCCTTGCCTTCCTGCTCTGGGGACGGGGCCGACAGATGGAATGGGGCCTTCTCTTCTTGTAGGCCCTCCAGATCTCTACTATAGCAGGGTAATCCGGGGTATAGTCTAGCATAGACACCACCATAAGATCGCTAAGCCGGGCATCGTTGAGGCTGCCGCGCTGCCAGCTCTTGATCAGGTTATGGCGGGAGAAGCCACGCTCGCACTCGACAGTGCTGAGAGGCAGCACGGTCAACGCCACCCACAACCCCACGAGATTGGGGTAGTGGATCTTCCAGTCGCTGGTCTTGAGCACGGCGGTGAGGCCGGCATAGAACTTGCGGTCGACGGTGTTCCGCCGTGCGAGCATGGGGGCGAAGTGGCGAATCTCCTTGGCCGCCTTCCTCTTGTCAATGCCTGGAGGGGGCGGGAAAGACGAGCGGGGGATTTTAAGAGGTTTGAAAGATAAGACAGTCCAAGGAATCTCAACATGCGTAAAAAGGGAGACGGAACACAAAGCAACTCAGACGGTGAACAGCACCTGGCAGAATCTCTTCGCTGTCCTCCGCTTTGTACAGCCGCACCAGCAGGTGAAACCACTCCAGGCACTGCTTCTGCCTGGCGGAGCGCTCCCAGTTCGGCGGCCAGGTGTCAGCAGAGAAGAGGCGACATCCCTCGAGCTGTTCCAGGTCCCCGAGACGCTCGTCCAAGCCCTTCACCAACCCCTCAGCCAAGGCCGTGCAGTCGTCGACATAGGCAACGTGTGTTCCCTCCCTGGGGTAGCCGTCGATCTCTTCAAAATGGAGACTTACGGTGATGCGGATGGGTCGGCCATCAGATGCAACTCCGTCAACGGTGACTTCTGGAGTACCATTCGGGCCGTGACGAGTGAGGAACTGGCCGAGCCGCGACATCTCGGTGCTGCCAAAGTCGTCGCCGTAGTCGACGTACCGGTTCTCCAGCAACCCCGTAGTCTGCGCGATCTGGCTGGCGACGGTCGCGTAGTCCAGCTGCGAGGAGAGGTGTTCACGGGGCGAAGGGGGGTGGGGGGGAAATAAGAGATAGGATAACATGATAAGCATATGCACGTGCTTGAGAAAGACGCACCTCCCGCTGCTGGAACACTTTGTTGAGGATGTTGAGCTGCTCAAGAACATCAGCCAGAAAGTGCAAAAAGAACCAGAAACGATAGCTCCGAACAATAGCCAGCAACTTCGCGTTCCTTAGCTCCGTGACCATGACCAGCACAGCTGGTAGCACAGCCAAAAGACGGAGGATCGCCTCACCGCGAGAGAGCCATCGGATGGCGTGGATCCCTTGCACTTCCAGGTTGGTGTCGTTGAACATCTGCTGCAGGTCCTTGAAGCGTTGATGCCAGGGTCCAGAACGACCGAGGAACTGTGCAATCTCCTTGATGAAGTCGTCGACGATGCCGAAACTCTTGTTCTCTTCTGCGGCATCCTTGGCCGCCAGCGCCTCCCTGCAAGTACAAAACGGATGTGTTAAAACACGTCTCGCGGGTATACGAAAGCGGGAAACTTATGAATAACACTTACCGATGGGCGATGCAGTGGCATGACACGAGGTGTGGGACAAGCACTCTCGGTCGAGCGATAAGGCCACGCGTCTTCCCGAGCATGACGGCAGCACCGTCAGTATTGATGCCGGAGATTCGGCGTAGATCCACACCAATAGCCTGAATGTGGGTCAACAACAGCGAGAGCAACGAGGCAGCGTCAGCCCTGTCAACTGTGAGGAGCGCAAGGAGTTTTGTCACTTGACGGTTCTCCCGAATGAAGGTGGCAAACACAATCATGTGTTTGCCACGACCGCGGTCGGTGCTCTCATCGAGACTGAGGCCGATGAAGGGGCTGGCCAGGAGGTGTTCGAGCTGAGTGGTCTGGAGCCATGTCGCGAGGGCTTGTGTGAACTGGCCGAAGCCATACCTGCCATGGTATCACGAAAAGGGAGATAAGGACGTAAAGAAGTCGCGAAGGCAAGTAAAAAATAAACACGGTCGGAGACTTACGAGGTGTAGTACGTTCCGTAGCCATGCTGTGGAAAGCCGCGGAACTTCTGCTCCGACAGATATCGCGTGAGACGAATCCACGTCTCCATCGGCTCGTTGCAGCGGCTGCAAAAGTAGAGCACGTCGAGCAATGAAGACACGTGCAGCAGCTCCAGGTCTTGAGCGAGCGGGTGCTGGTCGATGCGTTGTTGGTTGGTCGCCATCTGCAGCAAGTCGATTTGCTTGGCCACCGTGAGCTCATGTCGAGTTGTGCCAGCGTGCTTCTTGAACGCTTGGACCTGCACGTCGGTCGCTCCGTGCCCGCTCCTGCCAGTTTTCCCCTTCAGACCTGCATGTTCGGTGCACACAGAGCACTTGAAAGCGGGCAAGCCACTGTCAGTTTTTGTGATGAGCAGCCATGGATAGGCCTTAGACCAGCGGGATTGGAAGCGGTCCAACGCGTCGGCATATGTTTCTTCTGGCGTCAGCCTCTTCCGCCCAGCAGACGGCACCTCTGCCTCTTCCTCGTCGTTGTCGGAGTCGGAAGCGGTAGGCTCGCAATCTTTCGCCGGAGGTGCAAAAGACAGTCGTATCTGTCGATAACGTGAATGGTTGGAACAGTGTGCTGTAACGTGCAGATGAGTGGCTATGTTGTCCGATCCGTGCATGTTGTTACCCGCATCTGGTCCACGTGTGAAGATCACCAAGTGTTGGTGGTATGGCAGTTGTGTCGTAGTACTGCTTCTGTAGCAGTGTTGTATCCGTTACATGCAGATTCTGTCGAATGATGGTCCATGCCGTAGTGTTGTCGCGAGTCGTACCCACTGGGCATCGGAGTGCTGCGGATTGGAGAGCAGAATCACTAGTAGTAACTCTGTCCACCACGCGGTCTGCTAGTCACACTGCCTTGCCTACAACAGCGCATGCGAAGTGCTGCTCAGCGTATCCCTTGTGTTCAGAACCATGCGAGGGGTTGGTACCACAAACGCGGAGCTGGTAACTTCCAGAATCGGCGCCAAGTAGTTTCCCTCGGTGGTTGCTCAAGCAAGGAATCTCAGCTGCGTAGATATCCCACGCTGATGGGTTAGGATACTTGGGAATATTAGGGGTATTCCCAAATAATCCTTTCCCGTTTCCAAATAAGCATTGCTGACAGCCAATCCAGTATGACCTTATGCACTTCCAGTTTAGCACGGAGGCCATCGGTAGGCATCGGTGTCTGGGCGCACATATTGGGATAGGTCTTCTGGTGCCATCATGTGTTGTCTCATTCTGTTACTCTCCTTGAAGTAACGTTGATGTCGAAGATGTCTCAGATACTCAGCATCGGTGTTGAAGTCTGCTCCATTTCGGCAAACAGGGGTGTCGTTGGAGATACGCGGAGTCCACTGTCCGGAGTGGCGTCGGCGCTCCATTCCACGCCTATCTGCTTCCGTGGAGTTGGTGCTGGTGATGGATTGGTTGCGACGCAGGTTTTATGACTTTAAGGAAAGCCATAGGCCATGAGGACTTGTATACCGGTAGAGTACCGTGGTCCTCCCATCCCCATAAGAGCAAATATCTTCCGCTCTTGAGGGTGTACGGCATTGCCATGTTGTTTCCTCGCATAGTGGTATCTCCTCTCCACTAGCTGGAAATCATAGTATTGTGCCTGGCCGGGACTTTACGATCCACTGGAATATAATCCAGAAGTATCTCCATTGAGCGAAGAGTCATCCATCAGGGTTTCGATATGACTGTTGTATCGAGTCTTCTGCTGCGGCGGCGGCGGTTGCGACGATGGCGACGGCGGCAGCTGCTGCAGAGAATTCTCTTAACTCGTACCGGTTGAAGGAGAATCCATCAACTCCCTCTTCCCAGTAGAGTGTTCCTGATGGGTGTAACAGGCGTAACTACCAGGAACACGTGCACATTAGTACACATGTGTTGCTCCATTGCTGCCGGTGATTGTTTCATTTGAGGCTATGAAGAGAAATTTGCTTCTCCCCTCAATGTATCCACGGGTAGCAATTCCTGGTATGCTCATCCGTGCCTCCGATGTACGGTCGGTAGAGCGCGTAATTGTGTTGTAATAGTCCGCATCTCCCTCGTTTGTTGACACCTCGTGTTGCTTGACGTTCTCCTGCATCGTCGAAGTTACGCTGATGCTTGTAACGCTTCGGCTTCTGGTAGAATCGCCTCCAATGCATGTGTCGTAGGGTCGCTAGTGAACGAGTACTTGCCGGATTAGAGGTTAATTACTCCTCAATCTGTCAAGCATCGTGACGTGCACGGAATTTTCTTCCACGCAGGTCATTAACACCTGGAATCGCGACGCATGATTGGTGTGTCGCCGAGTGAGGTTGATGTTGAGATTGCTCCAATCAATCACTTCGGAAAGCTGAGATTCTTGATGAAGACGAATCGTTCAGCTCCTGTTACGAAGTAGTGTCTCGCTGGCCTTGACGAGACGGGTTCACTGCGTCGTCGTTGCGTGCGAAATCTGCTCCTTCGCAACAACTTGAACTTGAGAGCATTGCGAGAGAAAACGGCTACTTCTCTGCAATCCCATAAATTGTCGATCAATTTGTATGAAGAAGTGTCTCGTGGATGGAGAACATGTCTTCACGCAGCTCCATTTTTTTTCCTGGGTGAAGATACCGCTGTGTTGATGTCGATATATTTTTAACGAAGATGACTTCGTAAAAATAGATCGTATCGTTATCAACACGAGTTAGAAGATGCGTCAATTGAGCAGACTCTGGTCACGTGTGTTGTCTCCATGGTGATGTTTTCCCATAGTGTAGTCTCCGCTACATTCGTGCCGTTGATTTCGCACCGATCCGACGATCCACGTTCTCCTGTCATTTTTCTGCATGCAGATATTACCAAGTAGGTAATACTCTGGCAGATTTCTGAC